TGGTGGTAGTGGGTAGTGGGTCGTCAGGTTAAACATCCATAAAATGCAATGAAAACACAAAGTCTCGTGCGGGAATCCGAGTGGAGGGACCAGGGGAGGGCGAGGGCGGGGAAGCTCATTGCTCCTTGCCGAGCGCAACCTTGGCCTTCTTCGCCTCTGCAGCCTTGACCTCGAGCATAGGGTCAAGCTCGGATTGCGGTTGGCGGTACGAGTCGCCCATACGGTCTGCCCACGTGAAGTACTGCAAAGGCGCAAGTCAGAACGCTGCGCGAAGCAGAAGCGATGCGAATGAAACGTACCTGGCCGTAGTTCACGGTGAAGTAAATGTGGTGCAGCGTATGGTGCGCAGGGCCGTTGATGACCTTCTCCAGTGGGTGGCCAGTGATCATGTCAGAGTCGTGGATGAGGATCGTCCAGAAGTTGACGAAGATGAAGAGGCCGAGGTAGAGCTTCCGGTGGAGAGGGAAGAGATAGATGAAGAGGTGGTAGGGCACGGATTGCGCGTAGCCGTCGAGAGGGTGAAACGCGTGCGACGCGAAGGGCGTGGGGACTATAACGCGCATGTCAGTACGCGTCTCTAAGAGAAGCTGAAGAGCGGAGACTTACTGATCCACTTGTGGTGCGGCTTGTGTAGCCACTTGTAGCAAATGGGGTGGTGCTCCCATCGATGAATCCAGTAAATGCAGTAGTCCGTGAAGACCAGGAAGCTAGCATACCTGTCAGTCTCAAACGTATAACATTATGCATTGCACGACTCACAATAATATTGAGAAGAAGAAATAGCCCCAGCCATAGTCTTCCACGTTGTCGTACAACTTGGAGTATCCTCGGATCTCTCCAATGAACCACGGCAGGGTGAGGAGGATCATGAGAGGGAACGCCTTCAAGCTACATTGAATCTCGAGCTTGATCTGGTTTTTGAGGAAACGGGGGTGCTTCATCATCTCATGGTTGAAGATGTACTTGTAGGAGAGGTAGGCGAAGAGGAAGTAGAGAACATGGATGCCGACGAGTGTGAGGGTGAAGACGGAGATGATCTGTCGGGGCAGGTAGTCTCGTGGCCAGGCCGAGGCAATGGTCTCGGAAGCGACGAGGGGTGAGGTAAGCAGTTCGTCTGGGAGCGGAGGATGGGGTATGTGTGAGATGAGCTGAGACCAAGCGGAGGAGTGTGAGGCGACGACAGGGACGTGAGAAGAGGTATTGTATAGGCCGGCCGCATTCGAACTGGCGGTCGTGAACGCAGAGACCGGAAGAAGACGAGCCCAGGCCCGGTCGAGAATGAGGTCGTCGGCGACGTGGAGGATGATGTCCATGGCGGTGGGGGGTAGCGGAGGAGCCGCGCAGGACTTTTAGATGGCAGCGAGAGGGAACAGAACCCAAAGAGAACAGGTAAGCCGGCGACGACGGGCAGCGGCGGAAGGCTGCTTGGGTTGAGAGGTTTATATTCCAAGCGCGCACCTCAAAGTCGTCCCACCTCTCACAATTTTGACACATGCCTACCGCCCATGTGATCAGATCCCATCTCACCTCATCTAATCTTATCTCGGCTCCGTCCCCCACCGCAGTTTCCCCGCCAGGCCCCTTCCTACTCACCCATCGCCGCCTTCTTGCTCCTCGACGGCTTTCCAACTGCCATACTCCTTTGTTCGACAACAACCTCCGCCGTGCTCTCCGGAGCCCAAAGCACAGGATGGTCCCTGAGTGTTGCCCTGCTCAACGGTCAAGGAAGGGCGCATCCACCTACGCCCGCGTCTATCCCGACGGTCTGGTTGCGGCCGGACTGGCCGACTCCCGTACTCTATTCAGCTCACGTCAGATCACGAAATGTTGCTTGCGTCGATGTACTGTACGAACCACTCCATCGTACGACCTCATCCTATTGTTGGCACCTCCATCGTGCTCCAGACGCAGTTTGCATGGTGGCCTTCGAACGCCGAGCGCTGCTCCTCGGTCTCGTCGCGATCGGAGAAGCTTTCCTAGAGTGCACTCGAGCGGGCTCGTCTTCGCTATCTGTCCTCGTTCTATCGCGTCGCATCGCCCTGATCGTCGACGTAGCACAGGTGAAAGTTCATGGCAAGAAGAAAAGTAAATGTGGGGAGATGCAAGCGTCCTAGAGGAGCGTTGCGCACACGAGGCGCAAAGAACTCATTTTCGAGCTCCAGCTGCAGTCAGCTAGCCCTACGTCATGCGCCATGACCGCGCGCCATCCTGCGGTACCCCTATCTTCAACGCCTTCCTGCTGACTACTCACTGCACAGCTCCCGCCCAGTGTTCAGGATACAATTCATCTGGGCCTATTTACCGTACGCTTGGCATGAGAGAGAATATACCGATTCCGCCAGATGCAGGACTCCTGATCACAGCTTCGCGATAGATGATGCCCTGCGCCCGTTCATCCATCCGCTGGACTGGTATACGTAGACGTGCTGGACCTATGAGCAGCGCATACGTATGGCGGGGGCCCGGCGGCACGCAAAATTTACCAGCAACAACCACCGATATGCTTCGAGAATCTGCCACTTAGTGTACATGCCCTTGGCCAATCTGCCTCACCGGTTGACCTGATGATGTCCATCTGAAACGCTCTCTCCCCGTCATGTTTGAGGCCGCAAGCCCTCGGACATGAGCCCCGTTCCTCACACCGTCCCAAGCACAAGCTCGTACACACGCTGATCAGATGTGAGCAAAGTCGTCCGTGGCCTGCAATTGTCCCGTGCAAGGACACACATTCCCAGCATCAGTATGCAGGCGGTGCAGGACGAGCAGGAAATCACGGACCTTGACGAGCAGCTTCGCGATGCCGGGCTCGCGCGAAGAGTGGCCCGCATCGGGCACAATGTGCAGCGTGAGCTCCGGCCAGACCTTCTTCAGGTCGTACGCCGTCGTCGGCTGGTGCAGGCACCCCGCGTGCGCGTCAGCGGCCGATCGATGTCCGTGGCGGTCATAGAACGGAGGGGAAGGGGGATGATGACTCACCGGGCAGACGACGTCGTACCGTCCTTGCACGACGACGCACGGGATGTGACGGCTGGGGTGTGGATGAGTCGGGGAACGAAACGAGACGGAGCGTGGTAAAAGGGCTACTCACATCTTGTCGATCTCCTGCTTCTCGAGCAGCTGGCCGTCGCGCATGAACCCCTGCGCATGACACCCGTTAGTGGTTGACGAGCGCACGAGGGTGACATCAGCATACGTCGTTGACGAAGTAGTGGTTCTCTATTCTTGCGAACGCGCTGGTGTATCCTTGTCAACACGCTCCCCAGCTCAGTTAATAAGGCCGAGTACGCACTTTGCAAAGTCGTTCCTCTCCGCTTCAGCGACGTGCGCCGGGTCTACGTACAACTTGGAGGTGAACATCCTACGCGCGATGAGCGGTGGAACCAGGACGTGAGTCTAGTCATTGTACCCACTCCCACTTCGTCCACGCGCGAGCGGCACGCAGACGAGTCTCTTCGTCCACAGAGTTGAGCTGTGCGTGGTACGCGGTGACCATATCGTGACGCTCCGCCTCCGGAATAGGTGCAATGAACTCCTCCCTGCCCCGGGACCTCAGAAAATGTCTGTTGGAGACAATACATCGAAACGTACCAGGCCTCGGGGAAGAGATGGGATGTGCCCTCCTGGTAGAAGAACCGGAGCTCACTACGAGATGTCTATGATCAACCCTCGGTATATAGGACAAAAACAGGATACACTTGCCTCTTGCGCAAAGTGAAGATGCCCCGGAGGACGAGAGTCTTCACCCGATCGGGGTGGGACTACACATGCACACGCACATCCGGCTCCGTCAGCCAATATCCGCGCCTCTGGGTGTTCGTGAGACTGACCTGGGCATAGGCGAGCGACAGCGTAGAGCCCTGCGAAACCGGTAGTGTCAAAGATGCCGAAACGATCCTCGTATGCGCTACCGTGTAAGCCTACCCAAGAGCCGCCGAAGACGTGCCACTTGTCGATCCCGAGGTGCTCGCGGAGCTTCTCGGTGTCCTTGACTAGGTCCCATGTGGTGTTCTCCTCAAGCGACGCAGTCCTACGGGCCCGGTACAGAGGTGAGTGGACTGAGGCAGCGTCATACGATGAGTACGCACGGTGTAGACTTGCCCGCGCCCCGCTGATCGAAGAGGATGATCTACGAACGAAGCCCAAGGTAAGCGATACACCACCACGGCATAACAGCGTCGCAGAACCTTGTATTTGGTCGGGTCGAAGAACGAGCGATCCTTGGCGTCACAACCGCCGCCCGGTCCACCTAATTGACAGTAGTCGCACCGCGCCCACCGTAGCCGCGATAAGCCACACGCATCCCCCACCACAGCGCACAACACACGGACACACCGTGCAGGAAGACGACTAGTTCAAGGAATTGTTACGTCACATTCTGATTCTATCGCGCCGCTGAGCCAAGCCCAGAGTATGTGTTACGCACCAGGCGTCCCGTTCTTGTTCCCGCTCAGCTCATAGCTGCGGACCGCATTCGCATTCAGGAATCAGGGATCAGGGATCAGAGTCCCCCGATAGCCGCACGAGAGGTGCCGCGAGAGATCAGAGACGTACTACAGCGTGTGCAGGTCGGAGACCTTGAGCTTGCCCGTCTCGTACGGCTCGATCGGCGGGTACATGTTCGTTGGCCAGGTGCTGAGATTCCTGCGGCGGTAGATGGAGTAAGCACCGATGTTCGTCGATGGTGCGCTTTGCAGCCTCGGTCGCTTCTGTGTCCAATAAGACAAACTACGAGCTCTTGCGACCCGCGAAGTAGAGAGAGCAAGGAGAGTCAACGGACGGAGCCTGGGGACGAACTGAGATAGTGCTGCCATGGCCCTCGTGCTCAATTATAGCAGATCGCCCTCGTATCCGTGTGCATCCAATCGATCACATTCCGTTATTACACGCTCTTCCTCCCTCTCCTACAAAGCGCGGTAAATCTGTCACCAACAGACCAATCAATTGCCGGGCGGATCTTCATGGAATAACGGCCGATGACAGCAACAAAAAGCAAAATAACGTGACGAGAGTGGGATTCGAACCCACGCCCTTTCGGACCAGATGCACGTGACCTCCCATATCGGGATCACCTTAGTCTGGCGCCTTAGACCGCTCGGCCATCTCGCCATGAAGAATCGCTTGCAACAAACAGCCAACAGCCAAGCGTATACACAATGCGTCAGCCTACGCGATCCCGAGGAACTCCAAGTATTGCTGCTCGAATAGAGGCACAGTGTGGCCGACGCCCTGCGCGAGAATGGCCTGTAACATGGGACCGAACGTCGCGTTCGAGTATCCGGCGGGCAGGTACGATTCGGACACGGTCGTCCACTGCTTGACCTCCTCGAAGAAGTTCTGAGGGTAGAGTGTAGTGTCACTAGTAGCGGTCATCTTTGGTCAGTGCTGAGAGTCCTGGTGCATCTGGAGAAGGGCGTACGCAGTTCCATGCCAGACTTGCATCTTAGGGCGAGCGCCGGTATAGTCGGGGTAAGCGTTGTAAACCTTCTGCGCCTAATAAGACGGAATATCCGTTATTTTATATGAGCGTAGTCAATTGCGGGCACTCCACGTACCCACTGCTGACCAGTTAATATGAGCTGGCCCTCAGAGCATTGCGAGTTCCAGCTGTCGTCGGGCTGGCCGGGGACAGCGAAGCAACCGAATGCAACGCCGGAGTCGACGATGCCTGCCTTGAAGACGTCTGGGTACGCACCCGCAAGGACGCTAGTCATCATCGCGCCAGAGGACGTGCCGACCGCGAAGACGCGGTCCGGGTCGACGCCCCAGTTCGCAATCGCGTAGCGTGCCGCTGGGGCGATCCCGAGGGAGTCGCTGCCGCCGTTGTGAGTAAGTGTTTCATCGGAGGAAACGTCCCAGCAAGTGCCGGAGTGAGGCTAGCGCAACTGGAGCGGTCAGCATACGCCCCACCAAACAGGGGGAGGACGCTCATAAGCACTTACAGAGTTGGGGTAGAGCACAACGTAGCCGTATGTCTCAGCAAGTTGGGCGAATTTGGAGCCCATGTAGTACGCCTGAGCGGTACCGGAGCAGTCTGAGAGCCACATATGATCGCTATTAGCCGTTGTTGCTTAGTATAGTACTGTTCGAGGAGCGCGACTTACAATGGCTCGCTACAATCAGTGGAGGTTTCGACGTGACCCGCGCGGGCTTGTATACGAACATGCCGATATTGTTGGTGTTGTCGCCAAAGTTCGTGATCTGGTGCAATGTGGAAGCAGGGATAGAGCTTAGGCCTGTCGGAGCCGTACTCGTAGGCGTACTGCTTGTCGGAGAAGTTGGAACGGACGTGGGCGGAGGCGTAGAAGTGTTTGCGAGACACTGGGAGAAGTAGTCATTGAGTACCACGCAAGTCGTTCCGGCCACTGTCAACAAATTATGCATATCAGCGATCACGGCACAAGGTAATGGCTATGTGAACGACTTACCGCAGACAGTAGGGCCAGTGTAGCCGATACCGCCGCATTGACCCCATTCAGAAGCCTGTCCAGCAACAAGGCTGGCAAGCGCAACGACGCTCACAATATTCGTGGTTAGAGACAACATGTTGTGGTACAGTGGAGACGCCGATACCTGAGGGGTTCTGAAGGGCAACCGGACACAAAGCTCAGCTATATACCAGTCCGTTGGAGAAAGTCATCAGGATGTAGACGCATGGACGAAGTGAGTAGCGTCAATCCGGTCACACGCTGGCTGGCCCGTCTTGGTATGATAACGAGGGACTTGTAGTAGATTTGCCCGTCAAAGCCCCGTCAAGGGGAGGTGCAGACAGTCGTTTCTCCAGCGCAGCAGCGCATGCTTGGCAAGTTGATCATGTGTGTAGGACTACTTCTGCAATGGTGAGCATGTTAAGGTGACATGAACTACGTGTGAACAACATATGGACGAGGAATATTGGCCGAGAAGCCATGTCGGCGAAACCGTCGCATCCGCCGTTAACCCGGAGCAGTTCTAAGTATTGAAACAGGCGGGTCTTTGAGTGGCCACGTCTCATGTGGCCCTTGCACCCCTGGAACTCGTGGATTTAGGAACAAACGCACCTCCAGAGTCGCAGACCCTGAGTACATGGTGGCATGAGGAGCTCTAGTGCCTGCTAGGGTCACTCATTCCGAGCTGATGAAAGTTGGGCATGATAATCTGAGTGGAAGATAGAGGCGCTGTTGGGTTCAATGCTGGATGAGGTGGTGGTACGGAGAAAAGAGCGGAAGCGGTGCCAGTGAGGATGGGTTGATATTGCATACCTAAAGCGGAAGTTGACTTGCCTTTTGTGGCGGAGAGGATGAGGATGATGTCACGGTGGGCTCAGCGCGACCGTCATTGCAGAGTGTTTTGTGCGTTGATTGGAGTGCCGAGAACGCGCAGGACGTCAGAAATCGTATATATACCCCACCTCACAGAACGCAGACGAACAAACAACACTCTGCCGCCATCCATCATGTCTACTCACAAGAACCTCATCCGTCTCAAAGCCGCTACACAAGAGTATGATTGGGGAAAATCGGGTAGCGCTTCACTCGCAGCACAGCTGGGGAAGAACGCGATTGGTCACGGCTTTCAGATAGACGAGAATAAGTCATATGCAGAAGTGAGTGACGACTTCATGCAGTATGGCACACCGTACTGATCGGTGGGTAGATTTGGATGGGCACTCATCCGAACGGCCCTGCATATCTCTTCGACGACCCTTCTACCTCTCTCCTCTCGCTCATCTCCTCAGATCCTACGTTCTACCTTGGCGAGACCCTTCGAAAATGGCCATCCACCGTGCACATTCCATATCTCTTCAAAGTCCTCTCGATCAAGAAAGCTCTTCCTCTACAAGCTCACCCCGACAAAGGGCTCGCCGAGCAGCTGCAACTCAAGGATCCCTCCAACTTCGTCGACCCGAACCACAAGCCCGAGATCGCAGTCGCAATTGGTGACCCACTCAAAACCACGGATGCAGGCACAGAAGGCGATATACACGTCGGGGATGAGGATACCGCCTTCACCGGATTCGTAGGATTCCGCCCGCTGGAGGACATCAAAGTCTTCCTGCAGAAGGTGCCCGAGCTTGCCCACGCCATTGGGGACGCCATGCTCGTCGCATCCTTCACGCAACACCCTTCCACCGACACCCTCAAGCAAGTCTACGGTACGCTCCTGCGACGGGGTGTGGAGGCTCGCGACGAGGTTGCGTCCGCCATCTCGAAGCTCGAGCAGCGCATCAAGAAGGGAGGCAGTCTCGGTGTGCCTGAGGGCGACGAGCTCGCACGGCTAGTCCTCAAGGTCAACGCTCAGTATCCCGGAGACGCTGGCGTACTTGCCACGACCTTCTTCATGAACTTTGCAAAACTTAAGAAGGGCGAGGGCATTTATATCGGGGCCGACGAAGTGCATGCCTACCTGGAAGGAGGTGAGTGATGTCTATCTCACAAAAGTGTACTCATTACTTACCTCATTGATAGATATCATCGAGTGCATGGCGATCTCTGACAACGTAGTCAACGCCGCTTTCGACGCGCCAGAGTCGCTCGCCTCGCAGGTCAAGACCTTCGTAGAGATGCTCACCTATACCGCTCGCCCCGTGTCACACTGGGCCCTTCCGCGTGAAGCGTACTCGCACTCTCGCGAGGGGCGCACCTCGAAGTACGACCCGCCCATGGAGGAGTTCGTCGTCCTCGGCACCATGCTCAACAGCAAGAGCGCAAAAGAGGAGCGCCTAGGCGCGGTCAATGGCCCCACGATCGGTATCGTGACGAAAGGCAAGGCGAGGATTACCGTCAGCCGGGGTCACGAACAACTGGAATTGGACGAGGGAGGTGTCGTGTTCATACCGCCTGGAAACGACATCCACGTTGAGTTACTGGAGGGCCGGGGCGCAGAGGGGGCGGGAGAAGTGTGGTGGTCATGCTTTGGAGTGTGAGGGAGAGGAACTTACGGGGCGCGTTGTGTCCCATTGTACAACATCGGATCCTGTAGCATAGTCATGCACATATATCGCTAGCACATACTTGAAGCATCCACCATTAGAATACACACATCCTCTACGTACGTACAACTCGAGTCTAACTTGTTAGAACAGATGTTACACACATCCACACGATTTCGATGGCCCGCACCTCAGACGTAGAGCCACTTACCACGGCCCGACGCCCACTGCGACAGCTCGCTCACGTCGACAGACTCAAAGCGACGGCGGATAGAGGGCTCCTGCGACTCTCCAGCACCGTTCGGGTCGGGGGTCGCCGGAGGGGAGAGCGGCGGAGAGACGTCGTCTTCTCCGTCGACCATGATGGGATCGTAGGGGGAGAGGATACCCATGCCAGATCCACCGACGGCGGTCACGTACGGCCGGTAGCCTTGGGCTTCGAGGGCAGAGATGAGGGCTTGAAGCGCATCGTCGGCGAAGTCTGCAAAGCAGGTGAGTACATGGTTACAATCAAGGATGGGGCAGGAAATCTTACCATCCGGGACGAGGGTGACTGCGCAGCCACCGCCGCCTGCACCCGTCAGCTTCGTGCTGAGGCGGTAGGGCGAGTCCGCCGTGATGGCACGGATGGACTCCAATGCCGGGTGAGAAACACCGAGAGAGACCAGGTGGGCGTGGTTCTCGTCGATCAGAGCCTACAAACGGAGATAATTGGGTAAGATGAATGCACGACCATCCGCAACATAAGAATACGTACCGCCAGCCCAGACAAGAGGGTGCTACGGGGAACCTCGGGATCCGCCAACGCACGCCTCGCCTCATTGCTGATCGTCTGGATCGCGTCCAAGAGCTGCCCAACCAGCTCCGGCTCCGCGATCTTCTTTCGCGCGACGCCCGCGACGAGCGCCTTCGTGTCCCTAGGCACCTTCGAGTCGACGAGCAAGAACCGGAGGGAGCGGAAGCCCTGGATCTGCTCCATCCCGCTGCGCTTCCCGTACCCGGGCCGCACGTACGCGAGCGCGCCGCCAAAGACGGCGACCGAGTTGTCCACCCCGCTCGGGTTGCCGTGCAGTACCTTCTCGGCGACGAATGCCCACCGGTTTGCCTCCTCGGCCATCTCGGGAGGGATGGCGCGGCGGCCCCCGTGCGGGACGTGGACATGTCCGGGGTCACCGGAGACGGAAGGCCGACGGGTTGG